TTTTTGAGATGGAGTCTTGCTCTGCCGCCAGGCTGGAGTGCAGTGGTGTGATCTTGGCTCACTGCAACCTCCGCCTGCCAGGTTCAAATGATTCTCCTGCCTCAGCCTTCTAAGTAGCTGGGACTACAAGCACACACCACCATGCCTGGCTAATTTTTTGTATTTTAGTAGAGATGGAATTTCACCATGTTAGTCAGGATTGTCTTGATCGCTTGACCTTGTGATCCACCTGCCTCGGCCTCCCAAAGTGCTGGGATTACAGGCGTGAGCCACTGCACTTGGTCTACTCTGTGTTTTCTTCTAAGAGTTTTTAGTTTTTTTAATTTAAAAATGTACTATTTATTTTTTATTACTAGCAGGTGGAAGGAAGATCTTCTAAGAGTTTTATAGTTTTTGGCCTCACATTGAGGTCTTTGAGTCTTTGTGAGTTAATTTTTGTTTATGGTATTAGATAAGGACTCACCATCATTCCTTTGCATGTGGATGTGCAGTTTTCCCAGCATCACTGGTTGGAAAGGCTGTCCTTTCCCTATCAAATGGTCTTGTCGCTGTTGCCAAAAACCATTTGACCGTGCATGCCAGGGCTTCTTTCTGGGCTCACTGCATTGATCTCAACATCACTTTTTAAGTTTTTCTTTCCTAGTTCTGAGGAGAGAATTAAATTTTTTGAACTCTTTTGATACAAGAATCCATTTGATTTTATAAATGTTATCATTTTCACTTACGTATAATTCTTTACTATTTTTGTTTTTTTATTTTTTCCAGAGAAGAGGAGGTATCTTGCAGTGGGCCTCTGTCCCAAAAACAAGCAGAATTTTTTCTTTCTCAACAGGTATGTGAATTCTGTAGTTTATCATGAACTTCTGTTTTAGTCCTGTGATGTGTGTCATGGCATAGGCCCGTTATGTGCATAGGTTTGTTAGTGAATCTGTGTCAGCCTTTACTCTTGGTCCCCTCTGCTTCACTAACGAAGCACTTGTAACTCTGTGCCCTTTCCTATTTTGTGTGTGATTTTATTTTTCTATTAAAGTTATAATCAAGGTTCATTTAGTAATGGTATGTGACTAACAGCCTAAAACCCTGTGGTTTAAAAGACTTGCTTCCCTTCTCTCAACATTTTATTATAGACATTTGCAAACGTAAAGAGAGCCTGAAAAGCAGTGTATGTAATTACCCATACCTATTACCTTGATTCTACAATTAATATTTCTGTTTTATTTATTTATTTATTTAATTTTTTATTTATTTATGTTT